CTAGATTAGAGTATTAAATACATGAAATTTGTGAGTATATGAGAAAACAGCAGAGTAATGGATTTGCCCGGAAATTTTTCTGCATTGATTGCAGCAGTATTACTAATCCTGAATCAACCTAAATGTACAGAACTGAATAAGTATTAGAGCTGTCCAATAAGATTTGATGAATGCACCATTCCATTAATTTTACCTTTTTTTGTTGAATAAATTATTTGACAAATAACGGTAAAATTCATCAAATAAATTATCTGATGAATATATTCTTTAAGTAATCGACTAGCTCTAATGAATATGCAGGCAGTTCCTTAATGAAAGCATTACTCTACTGTTAGCCTGCTTTCATCACTCATATGTCACTTTTTTGTATTTTGCAACTGCAATCTGTATATTTTATTCATTTACCCATTCATTTATACACGGGAAGTTCAAAACAGTATGGTTAATCAATCACTGCAATTCTTCGAATATTTTTGCTTTACAGTTGATTATTCACCACATTTATTACCTACAGTAATGCTTAATAAAAAGAACTTGGCTTTTCTAAGGACACCTCTCCCAACAACTATTCTTGGTTGCTATGTTCCAAGTCAAGTTTCCAATAATGCTCTGAAAATTGCAGGGTCTATTTATAAGCCATTTTTGTAGCTGCAAACATTACAATTACCAATTGTTTCAAGAAACCGGAGCTTGAAGCCAAGCCAGACACCTTCAAGGTCCCTGCAAACACACAGTAGAGGACTAAAACAAGAAAAGCATACAGGAGCCACCTCCTCACTGCACAGCGCTAGGATGTTTGGATAAAAGCCACAGGGAGGATTATTTGGATGATGTTCAATTTTGGAAATGCTCCAACCTCAAAGAGCAGGTCTGTATTTTGTGATTGCAGAGGTGATCTCGACAAATGATACTGATAGATTTATACTCTTCAACAGCAAATTGCACCTGTTAATGCTACAACATGTCACACTTCTGAGTCCCGGTTCCTCACAGAGGTATGCCAATTTATTGTGGTGCCGACAGCGGGTACAATACTCAAGCCTTACATGACTCTGTCAATACTGTGAAGGTGCAAATCATGTTATCATGGGTGACTTCAAACTTGCTGCAGGAAGCTGAACTGAACAGATTTAATGGGAGAAGGTTGTGGGAAAGAGATATATTAGAAGGGTTGCCTGTAGCTGCATTTGTAGTAGCAGTGATTCTCTTCCAAAGTTTCCTTTGCTTGTAGATTTTCATAAGTACAATGTTAATAGTCCTTGCTCAGTCCTTCCAAACAACACCATTTCTGCTGTCAGTTGGACAACTAATATATAGCTGCCTCTCACAACAGGTACAAGTGGAGGGACTTACACTGCGTCCACAGAATTTAAAAGATGAAGTTTCCAAAAACGTCAGTGATGCAGAATAAAGCCTTTACATAGGTCTGCTCCCACTCAACACAGAGCGAGCTGCCGTGCCAGAGCTGGGGAGAGCCATGCAAAAGTCCTCCACATTGGGAAGGAGTTTGCTCTTAGCTGACATTACACACTCATCAAAACTGCAGCCACATTGCCCTGCAGGCAGATGGTTATTTCCATCCTAAGCACTTCTTATTACAGGAAGATTATTATTGTAACAGTGTGTTACAAAAGAAAAGAAAAGAAAAGGTTCTAGGGATTTTTTTTCCATACCTTTTATCTCTAGAGCTTATATTTGTATTTGCCTCAATCAGACATGGGTTGTGGTGTGTGTGAATGTTTGTCCCTTAAAGCTTGTGATAAACTCACTTTTCCATTAAAAAGTTTAAATACTTGTTATAAATAATTTCTCCATACTTGTATGCTTTGATCTAATCTACTGCATAGTTTTAGTTAAAATGGTTGTGGTTCTAAAGATTACATGTATTAGAAGGAAGAAATAAGTTGTAGAAATTATCTTCAGCTTGCAGCTTGCTTCACAAAGGTTTCAAATGCCCTTTCTTTGCTAACTCCATCTAAAGAGCTTCTGACCCACTCCTTTTCATGTGCAGTCACCAGTATAATAATAATAATAATAATTTTCAGATGGGATCAATAAGGCCATTGCTTTGCACTGAAGAATTATAATAGAACCTTAATATTAATAAGTAAACACCTTAAGAAGTAGTGTTTCTGCTTAGGCATCAGAGGAGAACTTAGTTTGTACTCCTGATAAACACTTGAGCTCCCTATGCTTCACTATTCCTGCAAATTTAAAGTCCAAGGTTGTGTTTGAAACAATGTGCCCTGAGACAGAAAATCTGTTGGTACAGAACCCGTTCTGTTTTTCAGCATTTGCGTGCTATCTCAAAGGCATATTCCAATATAATCCAAACCGCAAATCTCCTGGGACCCCGTTCACAGAAATTGCAAGCATCATTTGGGTACCTGGGCATTTGTGCTGGCGATGAGTTTAATGTTTTTGTTCAAGAATCAGATTTATGGTGAGTGGCTCTCCAGAGATTTTGTATCCCAGACTCTCCAGGCTATCTTGGAAAACCTACAAACTGAATGCTATTAGTAGACAAGGCTCAGGATTAAAGGTGAGCTTGAAGCTGCCAGATTTGGCTCTTCTCTATATGAGGGTTGTGGTGCTCTATCTGGTTATTTCAGAACAAAAAGAATATTTCCTTTTCAGAGTCCTTAATTAGTAATGGTTTTGTTTTCGCTTTAATTAACTGTGGGCAGAATGGAAATCTTGGAAAGAGATTGCCTTCTGTAATTAAAAGGACTTTCTGAGTGGCACTACTTTGGAAGGAGTTTCATCTTTATTGTGGTGGTGCCCATGCACTACGCTCAACAGGACGACTGGGCAATGGAAACAGAATTACAGTCCCCAACACACCTTCCACACAGCAGATGTCTAACACCAAGTTCATCTTCTAGAGTCAGTGCCTATTTTCATAAGGTTATCAATGTTTTCCTTAGACAATAACCTGGATAGAGCACAAGCAAATTACCTCGCTCCCTGCACTCTTTGAAAACATCCCTCTTGCAGTTCAGGCTTTAATTTGCTATCACCCCATCAAAACAAGTTGTCCAAATGCTCAACAAAATCACACCGCAGATGAAGCAGCTTGCTGAAAGCAGGCTGTCTTTCCTCCCACATCTATGAGTGCATGACTATGACGAGATAATAGCAAAGGTATGCGGATACTGTGAAAACAAGCTATCACAAAATACTTCCCTAACACACAAAAAATAGCAAAACAACCAGAGGAATATTTACTGTCCAGCTACTCCACCTCTGTGTGGCTTCACTTAGGCAAAGGAGTGGGAGAAAAACAAAGAAACTGTCTGATTGTCATCCTTTTCCACAGGAGGACTGCATCAGTGCATAAGACCAATACCGACTTCTACCACTGCCCCTTTTTCTTTTAATTCACAGGGATTGCTGGAAGATCAGGAGTGCTCAAAGAACAGCTATGAGCAGCAGAGCCCAGCTTGCAGGATTTGCCTCTGCAGCCAGCTATGCTTATATCAAAGCTACCGCAGACCTGCTCTGCCTCTGTAATGTCTACCTAAGATCCCTCATCAGGCACAGCTCAGCTGGAGCTGAAAATAAGGTTACAGATGCATAAATTTGGGGCATTTTGTATCTTTTGATAATGCAGTTTTCCTGTGCTGACAGTGCAGTAATACATCACTGCCCATAAATCTTCACCTGAAGGCAGATGAGGATCAGGAATAAGATCAACAACAAAAAAAATCCCAACCCTGCTGCCTTCATGGAAGAAAGTCCAAAGAGGAAATAGGAAATAGTCAACTTAAACCTAAGAATTGTAAGAATTTCCTAATAAAGGATGGTTTCTCCTCATGATTTTGTTTTACTGTGGTAACCTGTTGGCCAGAAGCACTGAGACAAGGGAGGTTACTATGCCTTGCCTCTCCTGAAGCGTGCGGTACTCACCAGGAGGGTGAGATGGGAAGGCACCACCCTGCATCTGCCTCATGGGTTGCTCCCAGCCTATCCCAAATCTACAGTAGGAATTTGGGGTGGAATTTGACCAGAATTATACCTGATACTTTATTCAGCTTTGAAATGGCTAATGCATTGAAATAAAACTGGTTTACTATCATCTGGTGCGTGTTAGGCACTGCCACTTCTTCCTTTATACAAATCCTCACATTTATCAGCAAATAGCTCAAAAAAGCAATGAAGGGTTATATTGACTTGACCATAGATGTCCCAAGGCCTCACCATTGCACCTTCTCGTCTTGTTAGCTCCGGCTATTGCCAGATCACTGCCACCCCAGTCATACACAATAACGCTCCATTACAGTTGGAATGGTTTGTTAAACTTTGTAGCACTTAGAAATGCTCCCAAGGCACCAAAAATGTCTTGATTCAGAATTGAACATATAATACCTGCCAAATTTGCAGGTTTGAAACCACTTCCAATAAGAATTAAAAAGGCCCTCTTCACAGCTGAAATAGGGCTATCAATACTTGACTTGTCTGCCCATGTGAAATAGCGGGTTCTTTTCTCTGACGTCGCAATTTAGTTTAAAATAGCTTTGATGATGACAGGGTACATGCGAGTGATAAAACCATAAAGATGACAGTCTAATCTTACAAAGATGACCGATCACTGATAAGAGATTAAGTCACACAATGTTTGAAAAACCAGATTATCTGTCTGCTAGGATAGTGTCTGTGTACACCTCCTGCTGAGCCATGCTGAGATGCCAGTGACATACAGAAACCAGAAATGCTTCACAGAATTTCTCAAACCACTGGGATAAAAGAAAGAAAGCAAGTAAGAAAAAAGCTCTGATCTTATGTTGAGCTATTTTTGTCAAACATTTGTGTTTTCAGGCTAGTAAAGTATTTAGACGTACAGCATATAAATAATTTAGAGACACTATAAAAAGGTCTAAATTAGCCAATTCTGCCCTATAATTAGCGCTCACAGCTATGCTGGCAATGGGTAGGTGATTATTAAACACCTTTTATTATCGTTTTTATGTACTACAATAAAAAATGAAAATTATACTTACAAGAATTATTAGACATGCTGGTCCTATAAAACTCCATATAAAGTTATTCTTTGTGCTGAGCCAACATCTGAAAAATAAAGAGCAGAAAATGTTTTGAAGTGTGCTACTGTGACTATTGCAACCTGACGCGTGCTGATTTGGACACAGAAACCGTGACTTACACTTCTGTGGTGCCATAGTACTTATATCCCAGTGCAGCAGAGATTCCAACAACCACGGCTGGACTGACATAGCCAAAGACATAGAAATTCTTGTGCAAGAAACCCTTGTTGTAGATGACTCCCACAACTATAAGGTAAAGGTGAATACCTTCAATGCACATCCACGCAAAGGCAGCTAGGAGGAAATAATGGAGTAATCCGGCAGTAATTGAACAGAAGAGCTAGAAATTCAATCAGAGAAAGCTAGAGTCATAATTCTATTTAATACATCTCTGTTAATATAACAGCATATGCACAGCAAGCCAGTGGCTCTGAAGTGGTGGTCCAGCAGCCCAGATGCAATGCTGATTGACAAGAACTTGGCCTACACCCATGAGCACACTTCTTCATTAGTGTTTTCTGTAGCAGCTGGTAAAATAAAGGGACTGCATTCAACTTTCAAAACTGGAACCTACCTCTACCCAGAAAAAAACACATTAAAAATTGACGAGGTTGATCCCATAGTTACGGCTGCATAGTCTATATGCTTTCCTGGTGTAGACAAAGTTAATTTTAATGATTTTGAAAGAAATGTAATTAAGCATCACAAGGAATTATTTCTGAAATAACTTTTTTATTACAAATTGTTTGCAAAATGTTATTTCTCAATCAATCAGTACTGGAGTGCTACCTCAGGGAACATAGCTTGTATTTTTTCAAGGAATTTTAAATCCTATTCAGCTGTTTATAGCAGGGGTTTTTTTATAATTTATGTTTAATTTAATTTCCTAAAACTAATCAGAGGTGCAAGAATCAACAATCCAACTTGTACGAAAAGCAACAGGGACAGGTCAAGGTCTCACACGTAAAAGAGAAAGGGGTCCTCCAGCCAACAGCCAATATCTGAAATGCCAGTTTGGGACTGCAGTTCTGGTCTGCCTTTTATGGAAAATTGTCACCCCGAGAACCACCAACGTGGCTTTGTACAGCATCCAAGAGGATGTGAAAAGTGAAAATGCCAAAGATGCCGAGACCGCAGTCCTGGTTAAGTGACGTAGTTTAAATGAAGCCCATGGAACAAGTCAATATACACCAGCTCAGATGAAGGCCCTCCTTCTTTAAATGACTTCTTTTGTATTCCCTGTTGCTAGGCTGGGAAGTCAAAGTCACTAGAATATTCCTACTCATACTAGGAAATACTGGAAGTAGATGCAAGATTGTATATTAGACTGTATATTTTACTTTACAACACAAAACCAAGACACAAGTGAAAACTACCCACCTTATTATTGTTCATATTAATTCCAATCAGAAAGATCAGTTCCGCCAGGAAAAGGCTGCAGCAGAGGTTTTTGTGAATTGTCGTTCTAGTGCTCTGAATTTCACTGAAGAACCAGAATGTAAAAACGCACATGGAGAGGCAAATCAACGAAATAATTATTCCTAGCTGAGTGATTCTTGTAAGAATGTTATAATTTGTAACACCCTGGGGGAAAATTATAATATAATATTTAAAAGAATAGCTTTGTACCTTCTCAAGAAAGACCTCATTCTATAACACATTTCTTTTCTTCTTTTCTACAAAATATTAATCAAAATTGTTTGTAAAGTTTCAGTGCAAATGTACACTTTGGATAATCTAAAAAGTAGGTTTTTTTTGTGAGACGGATATAAATCTAAGGGAAATCAGTAATGAACTGCTCTTGCATTTTCTGGTATTTCTTAACAAAACTTTTTATTAACATCAGTATCTCCTAATATGATTTTAAAAATCAGATCTTTTTAACGAATGACAAACGCACTGGCAGTAGGACATATATTAATGTGACATGAACATTTTCTAATATGAAAGGACTTATCACAGCAGTGACTTAGATAAGCAAAATTGAATAACCGTCTTACTGAATTTGCAACACGATCAAAACAAGACTCTGAAATAACAATCAATTCAAACAAATGCTATTATAGATATGTAACGTGAACATCCTCCAAAGAAACACAGTCTATTTTAATACTGAATGTGAATATTTTCTGTATAGGAACATGGTTACATTTGCTGTTTGGTATTTGCACAAAGAATCTCTGAAATACATGAGTGCACATCAGCATAAGGATAGTATTCATCTGACCATAAAATGTATCTAAGTTATTTTTTTTCTACATAAAGGACCAGAGATTATTCTCCTCCCAGCCTTCCTTTTCACAATAACGATAAAAGTACCTGCAAAGGTTTTAAATTTGAACTGAAGACTTAGGATGCTATTTAGCAAGCAGGAAACAGCCTCTATCAGCGTGAAATTCACAGTGTGAGAGAACTGTCTCAATACAGTATATTCATGCTAATATTCTGCTTGCTGTCAGCTCTGATACCTTATAAAGCTGCCTCCTGAGGCCGGATCTGAGCTCCTGCAGATCCCCATATAGACGCTGGAAATCTGTGGGGCCTCTTAATATAGGAAGAAAATAAACTGAGTGGTCATTCTCATCACTTTGTGCTGGTCATGAACGTCCATGTTTAATAGTCATAAACTTCAAATTGATTATGCTGCTGCAAACTCTCAGGAGAGAATTTAAAGCAGGTTTTTACACACCAAGGTTAGACAAATGGGTGGCGAAGTTTTGTGTGAGAGAAATTCATGGCCATATGGTTACTGACCACCAATGAATGCCAGTTAAATCCCACAGCAGTCTTAAACTGGGATTTAAAATTAAAAGCAATGCACCAAAAATAAGCACAACAGACTGTGTATTTGGAACAAGATACTTTGCTGCATCACTGCTCTGTAATACTGCAGAAAGGACATAAGGAAATTCAAACACATATGGGAGGAATTTTGTTTGCTCAGTGCACAATAAATTGTGTGTTTGCTGAACAAAAACAAGAGACAACCTGAAGGGGGAAAAGTACATAAGTTGCACTGAAATAAAAACATAAGGAATGAAGACAGGAGAAAGCATCAGGTAAAACACTAAATTAAAATAGCACTTACAACAGAGCCACCTGAGGACATCAGAACGGCAAAATGAGTCAGATGATTACATTTGCATGAGATATGAGTGGAGTTGGAATGTGTCAGCTCACAGCCTTCTGTAGCCCAGTTGCCATTCATTGTGTCTGCTGTGTAGTTCCAAAACGCACATTTAATATCTTTATCCGCAGTCTGGAACAGAAACAAGATGTTTTACTGATGGCGAAAGGCAGGATATTTCCCATCGAGAGACCTTTTTTTTACGTTAGCCAGAGCAATTCATTAAAAATTGCTCGTTACCATTGGAAGGCTGGGAAACAAACAGCCCATTCTGCAAGGCCTATCCACGCAATTAAAACATGACTGAGGATGGAAGCATTTTATCCACACAGCTAACACCCCACCAAACATGCAGGCTAATCAGATTACCGAACCTTTCTGGCACTTGCAAAGGTGTTGGAATTTGTGCCTCCTGAAAACGTTGTTATGTATACCCCTGCACCTGCTGAAAACTAAACCCCAAGGTTACAGCCGCATTGCTTGTCCTGCTCATAGTCCCTTCCAAATGAGCAGTTCGAAAACTGAGACTTTCTGCATTTTACAAAGTAATCTGGGATAAAGCCAGGGTCGTATCACACCTGCTATATGAGGTGCGAGGACAGCGATGATTAAGACCATTAGTATTATTTATTACAGTTTGCTTACTAACATTAGTCAAAGATAAGGTTCCCACTGTGCTAGATGCTGTATAAATACATGTAAATTTATATAAAAGCAATCTCTAGCTCAAATATTAGAAGGCAAGTAACAAATTTTAAAGCTGCAGAACCCAGGTTAACACCTTGCTCCACTGCCCACCTCCCCACAGAGTCTCACATTTTTGTTATGTTTCTGGTAATTCTTTGTGCCATGTAAGATGATTCTTTGCATACAAGTGAAGTCAGCAAAATCTATATATAGACTGGAAGTAAAACTCTCGGTTTTAAATTAATGTGGTCAGTTTTCAGAAATAATAAAGTTACAATACCACAGGTTCTGCTATTAACTCCTAGCTGCAGGTTAACTTTTTGCATTAACTTTGAGGCATTTCTTCATATTTTTTTAGTATGCTTTTTTAACCACCTGATAAACTTTTAGAAAACCCCCCACCTAAATAAAGAATCGTCAGCATCCTGTAAGATTCCCTGGTTCAGGTACCTGTATTTTATTCATACTGCAGCCTAGCAAAGATGGCATTGTTGCCCTTGCTTTAATCCCATAGCGCTTTTCAGCTGTATTGTATTTAGTATATTGCACTTAGGATGTCACATTTGAGATTGCCATTTATTTCTCTAATAAGGTTAACCTCACATCAGCAAACAACAGAATTATGTCTCAATATATCATACACTGCAGATACGGTTACATCACATAAAATAATTAACTATTGTTTTGTTTTATTTGAAGCTGATAATAAAAAACCCCCTTACCTTGGCATACTTTAAGGTAAATGTTATTTTCTCGAGCTCATAGAGCGTAGGTGGATTTGAGCTAATTGCAACAGCTATAACTGATGAGCTTACTGTCTGTCTCTGCTCTGAAGTATCTTTCAAGGAGCTGTTTTTCGGCGATGAAAGCAAAGAACCAATATTGCTATACCGCAGAAAGACAACTGCAACGGTGCCTATCAATCAAACAGACCATGTTTAGTAGTTTGTGGGTTTTTTATAGAGGAACAAAATTGAAGACATTAAGGAAACAATAAACAATAGACATTATTACTGCTATTGCATAAAATATGCAAAACAGATGGAATCTTTGTGGAATACTTATAAAAATGTTTTAGAGACAAAGAAATATAGCTTTATTTAAAACAATGTAACTGCCATTAGAAATAAAAATGTGTGCTCGCATTGGAAATTCTAATTAGATATATGCATATATATTTTTTCTAGAGTAATATATGCTTGCTGCTGTTCGGCAATTGGCTGCACATCTGGTGTCAGGTCTCATAAACTAAAATGACTCAGACCTGAGGTAAATACTGGGCCTCTCTGAAGTACTTGGCTTGCTTTAACTTCCATTGCAGTGGATGGAAGACACATAGGGAAAAAGAAAGCAAAAGGTATTTTAGGATGCAGTGCTGATTTGAAAAAAAGTCATGATTTTTCTCCCTGGTACCAAGACAAAGCATATTTTTAGATACTGATAGGTGGTGAGATTCAGATTAGCTGGAAGATTAAGCCTTAAAACAATATGTTCTGTGTTTATTAGGTTAGGTGGTTTAATTCCAGAGCTGTTTAAACACATATTTATATTTTTTAGTGATAACAGTAGTTTAAGCCATTTCTGTATTTTCAGTGATGACAGCAGTTATAAGCCATTTCTGTAGCACCCTGAGGTCCAAGGCAAGATCCAGACCCTGCTGGTTTTGGTACTGAGGAATACACGGCTTTGCCCCAGTGACCTACTCCCCAAATAGAAAAGATGCACTGATTTTTGGAGGAGAAGTGACAGAGAGAGTTGAAGGGGCCAGTCTGAGGTCACACAGCACATCTATGGCTGAGAAAAGGATAAAACTCAGGTCTCTGCTACCAAAACCACTGGATACTCACTGTGCTACTGGAAGCATTAGATATCTCAATCTTGAGACAATAAAGGGGTAAAATGATGAAAAGGTGATAAAAATACCTTGACTCCTCTGTAGTGAGCAGGGCTGAAGCTCAGCCTTGGTACGCTGCACATTTAGTTACATACTAGTGGGTACAAGCCTATCCAGGTATTTATTAACACACTTACTCTCTAACCTTTGTTTCTTACCATTAGGATGAGATTCCTCTCTCTTCTTTGGAGAGATCTTTACGTAATCTCCCCCCCTGTATACGTGAGGGTGAATGTGTTTCATGTGGTGTGAATCAAAAGCAAAAACCTTGAGTGCTGTAAAAGAAGAAAAATACTGTACAAATCACAGCTCCATTATGGTCTACCATAACTTACAGTTGGGTTAATAAATGTGCTATTGGATTGCATAATTACCATGAATTTTAAGAATATATCATTGTGCCAAATATTTCAAGAAAAATGCTATTAATATAGCATGTTTGCTTAAACCTCTATGTTTTGTTATTTTCATGCATACATTTTGCTCTCATACTTTTTACTCTTTCTGTGAAAAATACAGTCTTTTATTTACCTTGCATTAAATTAGGCACTGGAAAGAATAATGTAGGTTACTTTAGGAAGAGCTATTGCTTTATTAAAAATGCATTTCTGAAAGGGGCCACAAATCACAATTATAAAAAGCAACGCATAAAATTCTCTACTGAATAGTAACATTTGATAAAAGCCAATTTTTGAAAAGTATATATTTTAGAGTTATCTATCCATGCTACCAAATGCACATTGCACCATGAAATAATGATGTGTCTTGTCAAAAAGCAAACAAACAAGCATCACCCCTCAGGACAAAAACTACATTAGAGGACATTGAGCTCTTTACTTGGTTCATTATAGTGCTGAGTTTCAATCACCCAGGATGGGAACAAAAAAAAGTCAATCAGGCCTTTTTTTTTAAAGACAAAACAAACCAAAACCAAACAAACCTCAAACTTGACTGATGGAGGAATATCGCTAAGCTAGACCATCTGCATTGCTTATAGCACAGCACACAAAAATAATATGAGCTATTCAATAGACCAGCTGTCAGAAAATGTTTGTCAGGATGTAAGTAATAGTTTTCTGTGGCTGGAGTTTTGAAAAGCTCGTAGCTCAAGAGCTTGCACCATAAAAAGCAGTGGAGAGAGAGGGGTAATGTTCTGAGTCTTGTCCTAGAATTGATACGTGGGGCACATATAAGCCCTATGGAAAATATATTCATGCTGAGAATCAGTAACAGAAAATTCTGGTGTTTGGGGTCAATTTGGAAAAGAACTCATAGAATTTCCCTTTTTGGGACAAAAGCAAGCCAAAAAATGATTGACCTTTCAACATGGAAATTACATCTCCTTCTCTTCATTAGCTTTTTTTTGTTGCCTTTGTCTGACTGCATCTACATTGCAAGAGGAGACTGTGCCCAAATCCTCTCTCTTCTCGACCTTCATGGCCTCAGCTCTGCAGCCACAAGAGCCTCTGCTTTCAGCCAGTGTGGCAGAGCAAGAGGGGCTTTACAGCCACCTCCTGGCACTGCTCTGGATCTGCTGCAGACCCAGAGATGCTCTGCACCAACATAAATCTGCTTAGTTGATGCCTTGGAATAAGTTCCTCCCTATTTTTTCATCCCTTATTTCACATCAATTCAGTTTCAGAAAGGTGAGGGAAGAACAGGTGGTTTGACCTGCCTCAGGACCAAAGGAGGAATCTTTCTCATCAAGCCCTCTAATACAACAGCAAACCAGTAAGAGGCACTGAAAGACTGTGCTGAATCTAAAATAAGAAATCAGGCCACATACAGTTTGGGTACATTCAGAAGAATAAAGATGAAACAGTGGCCATTGCCAAAGGAATCAGCAATGCTTTATTAGGATTTTCAGAAGCGGCTGGTATTAGCCCTATTCTGCTCCCATTGAAGGAATCGCAAAACTATTACAACCAGAGGAAAATCAGCAGGATTTGGTGTGAAGACACCAGCACACAGGGAGAAGGCAGGAGAACAAAATGGTGCAGTTGAGACTAATCAACAGTCCTATGAAATTCCTCTTCAAATAGAAATATCTCTGAAAATAAAGCCTGTCAAGATCAGAATCGCTAGGTACAATCAATCACAG